CATTCCTTTCTGTTCTCATGTTTTCCCCACTGCAAAGTGTTCTTCCAAAATTACAGCCCAGGAGACAAAGGACACACACCTTTGTGAGCAAGGCAGTGTGAGAGCCACCACAAGCAAGGAATTCAACTTTCTGGCTGTCCAGTGCTTCAATAAGGGAAGGACAATCTGCATCTGTACGAGGGAAAGAACAGTTGAAGTGACCAAAAGGAAATGCTGAATCTCACACTAGAGTTCTGTGCTACCGGTAACATACCTGGGCTACTTCCTCTCAGACTGCAATTCCCAACACATTCTGACCAGAAAGGCTCTACGTTGGTGTATTCAGGCTTAAAGGTGTGCATGGGGCCACGGTCAAACGACTCACCTGTGAGCGTATCAAGCCACTTCCCAGGCCTATTCTCTTTTTAACCTGGCCCAATGAACTTTAATTGCAGGGTATCTGATATTTTCCATTCCCATTGAGAATTATCCTTTTTAATAAACATTATTTTTTTCTTTTCAGTTCTCTACTACGGTGTCCTTGCCTCACTCTACCTCTGCTTTATTTCACTATTATTTTCTTGTCAAATCACTTACAGATTCAGCAAAAATAGTTTAACTGCTCTTTATTTCTTTGCCTCCTTTGAATATTTTTCTAACTTTGACTTATGGATTCTGCTGAGGAATTAGCATGGGATCACATCAAGAAGAAATGCAGTGTTTGACCAGTAACTCAGGCGATAACGTGAATATTACCAGAGTTGATAAATCAATGGATTCTGCTACACCTGAAAACTCTCACAAGGTGTTTGGGTCAATAAGAAATTCTGCCATCTGCTTTGTGGCAGTAGTTCAATAATGGACATTACTGTACGTGTTTTATAGTGCGCACACACATGTATGTACAGATGTAATGAATAGTTTTTAGGATATGATTAGGATCAGTTCCTAAGAGAGAACTTTAGTATCCTTTTGTCATAATATAATTATGTTAATAGACACATAAGTGCACATGGAGTTTGAAGATCATTTCATCCAGCTCATCACTTTACAGGAAATGAAAATAAGGCCTAGAGAAAAGCTGGCTAAGGGACTGGGTAAGGCGCTCCAGTTAGTTAACTGTGAGGTGGGAATCATAATCCAGGTGTTCAAATCCCGTCTGATTCT